GAACTTAATCTTAATTTGGAACACACTAGTGTTCATGTGCATTATATGCTACCGGACAATTTGAGAAATGCTGTTTTTCCTCATCTGAAATTACATAGAAACTATGGTTTTAAGACTGCACTTTTATAACAGAAAGCTTATATGAATTTTGGATACGTTCTGCCACGGGTTACTCCACATGATTTACTGATATTTATTGATGATGAGAAAATAACGAAACTGTAACAGTTGATATGATTAAGAATGTCTTTGAGATTTTATTTGAATGCTTACCTGTATATCAGTTATAGCTTATTACTACGTGACGACAATTTACATACTTTTTTGTGTGAGTGGAACAAAAATCGCTCCCAAAGTTTTACAAACACATATTTTTTTACAACTGGTAAAAAACGGTCGAAAACAAAAGCAAAATCTATCATTACACCAAATTAAGTGCCTTTCTGATGTATACAACATGTTTAAATGCGTTAAAATCAACAAATTTATATCATAGTTATAAACATTATGAAAGAATATTCGACATTAAATGAAATTTCAACAATTATACAAATCTAGATATGACTATGTAAAACTATTTGCATATAAACAGACTATTAAATTCTTTTCAACGTGATTTATAATAATATTATGAAACAGACCGCCATCTACTTAAATAGTCACATATTTCTAAAGAACGAAATGAGGCTGCAGTAACAAAACTCATATTGTTTACATATCGGAATTACTTATATTGTATTATTAATTTGAGACTTTTAAGTTTTAGTTTTGTGTACGTTCTTCTGTAGCTTGTTCTTTAATGTATACTGGAGTTTGTCCCTACTGTATCCGATTTTCAAAAGGTAAAACAATGGAGATTCTATACAATGTTTAATGTGTCTAAATGGAGGGGTTGTTTTTGGTAATAAGACAAGATGCCATTTGATGAACAGTCCGGAGTTTGTTGATGATGATTTAAGACATACTGACCGTATAACGAAGCATTAGGTGGTATGACCTGTAGGTCACAAAATAATTTGTAAAGAATTTTGAGGCAACGGTGGAATATGGCCTATTTGTTTTGCGTAGCAAGACATCTATACATGATTTATAATTTATGCTGCTCTATATTTTTTTTTAGAATAGAAGAAAGTGTCAAATTTCTAACACAAAATGGTGATTTTATCCACGTTTCTCCAACTGTTAAAATATTTATCAGCTGGGCTTGTATTGCATTGAGATGAGAACACAATCATTTAGGTTTTTCAGATGCATCCATGGCACATTATCTTGAAGACATTCTTTAACACAACATATTGACATATTGTCTCTTCCATTTGATATGTTGGATATTTTTTTGCTTTATTTGTTATTTATTATTATTATTATTATTATTATTTAATGACCAATAAATAAAGAATGTTGAAAAGTTTTTTTCTCAAATCGGGTCAAATATCAAGCATAAATTTTATTTTTCAATATAACTCTGAGTAGATTTCATTATTATCTTTGCCTCTAAAACTTTAAGCGTTTTTATTGTTACAGTAACTGTTCATCAAATGTTACCGATGTTTTGATTCAAGTTTGTGTTTTTTCATGGAAAGTAAATGTAGTGAAATTTGAAATGATTTTTTTTTATGTTTCAAATGTATCCAACTCTGAAATCTGTAATGCATAATCATGACATTAACTTCTACAACATGCTTGAAATGATAAAACTGAAAGCCTCATACCTTTCCGGGTTTCTCTCATTTTACCACTTTGTTGCCATGGCAACAGAACCAATTAATGTTGATGTTAGAATGCAAATCTACCTTTAAAAAAATTAAAGACTTAAGCACATTTTAAAATGTAATCTTGTTGGTTATTCTTAGTCTTAATAATCGTTATATATCAGTTCACTAGAAATTGGGACTCAATTTTCGTGTACCCCACCCACTTTAGGAATGTCAGAATTCACATTATTACACAATAGAAATAAAAATAAAGGTACAATTAGTAAGTTGTTGATCATGTCTTTGTCATATATGGTAAAAATATTCATTTTCACCACTATGCCTCGACTGCAAGGAAAAAATGCCAGCCCCATGTCGATTTTTGATACTTTTTCTTGCTTTTTTTATCAAAATTTCTCTATGAAAACAAGAGTACATGTATAAGAAAATGGAAAAGGACCCTTTTCCATATTGCTCCAATAGGATGTGAAGTTTTAACATCACCTGTACCAAAATAAATACAAAAAAAACCTAATTTTATCATTTAAATTGCGTATTAGCCATTTTTCAATAATTTGGCGGCCATCTTGGCGGCCATCTTGGATTTCTCAAAACGTACCATGATTTGACAAGTCTACCCAATTTTTTTGTAAACTTCAAACATTTAGCTTTACATTGGTATAACATTTATCCATGGACCTTTTTTGCACACAAAAGGTCCCCAGGGACTGTACTAGTAGTCTGAACCGGGTTTTGAACTACAGACCTCTAAATTAGAAGCGGACACTCAATCATGCCGCTTAAGGGTAAACCCAACAGCAAGGCTGTTGGAAAACGGCCTAGACCTGTAATCACTACACTTTCAACATAGAATTCACACTTTCTCCTGGTCTATTGGTAAGGTGGCTAAAATTAGCAAACTCGGGAAATCCGAATCTGAATGAAGGCGAAACAAATAAGGTAGATATCAGATCTACATGTAAGAAATAAAAAGCAGATCTGAACTTTAAATATGTACAGTCAAACGTGTATTAAGCGACCGCGCAAGGAAATCTCCCAAAACGGCCACTTAAAGAAATGGTCTCTTAAGACAAAGCATCATATAAAAGTCAAAATTTATAAATGACATCTTTCTTTTGCAGTTGGAATATTTTTCAACTTCATTTATATAAATGTTGAATAATTAGTACGCTCCAATAATCTAAATGGATGCTAATGTAAAATATAACTTTCTGATATTTATTGACAAAACAGTTTTGATCCATTACGTACATGCTTGACATTTTTCCAGAATTTTTTAGTTTCTTCGTTCTTTTTCCTTGCCTCCAACACAAAAACCCTATTAGTGAAGATGTGTTCTGTTGTGCATTTTCTCATTTGAAATAAACAAACTACATCTAATTGCTACAATTCATTTAATTGCTGAACAAGTTCAAGGTGAATTCAATGCAGTCTTAATGCCAACAAGCGAAGCGTATACACCATTTCAGTAGGGGCAGAGTGTTGCATTGTTTATTCGAGATTAATGGATAATACATGTCACGCGTTTACTTTTACACTAAAACGGTTTGGGAAATAGAATTTTTTACACATTTATTTGTTGTGTTTTGAATTGACACTTGTGACATTACGAGGCGGCGTTCTCTAAAAACACATTTATTTGACAGGTAAAAGTGGTCGTTTAATACAAATGTCGCTTAATAGACGTGGTCGCATGTGCAAGTTAGACTGTATTTGTTTGGATAAATTTTGTCAGATATAAAAATCATGGATTGACGTACAGATGAAAACCACGAAAAGTAGTACTTAATATCAATGATTTTGCAGTGGTTTTGAAGTGGTCTTGAATAAGTCATTATCTTCCATATGGTTTTGACAGCAGATGTATTCCTTTTCAGTTTTTTTTTGTTGCACCTGCTAAATATCCTTCCATCTTTGGTGACTGGCATTATACTGGGTTAACATATACTTTTTACCCCAACTACATAGAGAGCCTTCAACTAACCATGACTATAATATTATCATATTTCCTTTTCAAAAATTTAATATAACTTTTTATGACAAGAATTTATATTTAATTGAACCATAGAATAAGAATGTTTGTTTTTGTTTGTTTTGGGTTTTACATCACATCGACACAGTATAGGTCATATCGCGACGTTCCAGCTTTACTGGTGGAGGAAGACCTCAGGTGCCCTTCCGTGCATTATTTCAGGCACGAACGGGCACCTGAGTAGAACCACCGACGTTCCGTAAGCTAGCTGGATAGCTTCCTCACATGAAAGAATCCAAAGTCCCTGTCGGGATTCGAACCCACAGCGGTGAGGGGCGAGTGATTTGAAGTCAACGACCTTAACCACTACGCCACGGACGCCCCAGAATAAGAATGACAGCCATAACCTTTATCCTGGTCAGTATGTTGGAGTGACACACTTCCACTTGTTCAAGTTGCTATCATCAACAACATCTTTATGACTAGCCCTAATTTGTTAAGGCCAATAACAAAAAAATGTAAAAGATAATGTCTGTATTGATCTAAGCAAACATAAGGCAATTTGTGATCAATAAAGAGAATAACCATTTCATTGCTATTCTGAAACTCTGATAATACTTCCAAATATTGACATTTAAATAACAATAAAATGTCTTATATTGAAGGTTGATTTACATAGTCTTTTTTTTCCCCCAAATAGAAAATTATAAGAAAGAAAGTTGTGAGAGTAAGTATAATCCTTGGCTATTATTCATAATAACCTCAGACTAATTATTAGGATTGGAAAGAGCTCTAACATGTGGTTTTAAATGTAACAATATATATATATATATATATATATATGACTTAGTGTGACCTTGAGAATGGTCAACCCTGCGCTCTTCACATTGTCTTATTATGGTTAACTGTTCCACCAGTTCAAAAGATACAGACTGGACACAAAAACTTGCTAAAAGACACATGGAGGCACTGACGGAAGATGGACGCCAGGCAAATTGTGATCACAAAATCTAAAAACAAGCAAAATTTAGACATTTGACCTTGGAGGTCGTCATTTATGAATGAAGGTCAAGGTTAGTCTGGTCTACTAAAATGTCTATCCCTAGCTTTGTTGAAGGCAAGTATGAAGATAATACACTAAGAACTTCAAAACTTAAAGTTACTATCAAGGCGGCAACAGCAACTGTAACATACCTTTTTTTTCTTCAAGAAAAAGTCCAGCTAAAAATAATGGCCAAATAGGAAGAAATACTCATTTTTCTTGTTCAAGTTGAAATCAACTTTATTAATAATTTATTAAAAAATCATCTTACCCATGGGTGCCATTGCAACTAGCCAGTCTGTGAGTTCATCTCTCTGTCTTGCTACTCGTAATGCACCATTAATATTGCCCTTCCAGATCTCTAACTGGTAGAAATAGTCCATGTTCTCATTGTTACGGTGATGTTCTCCTGTAAAATAATATAATTATTTATATTATGAACAGTCAAAATATACAGATAGTATGAAGGTTGCTAAACTTGTTAGTTGACTGATAAATAAAAAGTCAGTACTCTAAAGATATGCAAATCATAGTTGTGAACTAGTAATGTGTTGTCATGCCACAGATGCATGCAGCCAAAATTTAAAATGATATAATAATATATATCATTTCCACAAAAGTAAGAATGTGGAAACTGAAAATTTCAATTTTTTTTCCCAAACGTTCAAGAGATAACATTGTCCCATGACTAAAATTCAAATTTGGCATGCTTATTCCTAAGATGTATCTTTATGTCAAATTTGAGTTGAAAGTGTGTTACTGTTGGGGAGATAATGAAAGGAAACTAAAAATTTCTCGAATTTTTATCAAAGTTCAAGAGGAATAACTCTGTCAGAAATCATCAAACAATGACCAACTAGAAATGTGTCATCATGCCACGGATGCCTCCGCATGCAGCCAAAATTTCAGATGGTGCATTAATTATTTTTTTCATTTTAAGTACAAAGCCCTTAAAACTTCTCAATGTTAACACAAACCATTTTCATACAATGTTCAAGGCACTGAAATTATTCAGTCTTAACCTTTTAAAAATAGCATATTGCATATTTGTAGCCAAAATAATGGCTAAAAGTATGAGTGCTGAAACTGAAAGTTCAAAATTTTTCCAACATTCATTTTATTTTAAAAGTGAAAGGAGCTTTACTCTGCCAAAAATCATTGAACCATGACCAAATTCGAACTTGGCCTGGACATTCCAAAAACATATCCATATGTCATATTTGAGTTGAATGTTTTGTACCATTGGGGAGATAATAAACGGAAACTGAAAATTTCATATTACTTTCAAAGTGAAAGGGGCATGACTCTGCCAAAAATCATTGAACCATGACCAAATTTGAACTTGACCTGTATTTTCTCATGACATATCCATATTTCAAGTTTGAGTTGAATGTGTTGTTCCGTTGGGGAGATAATGAACGGAAACTAAAAATTTCATATTATTTTCAAAGTAAAAGGGGCATAACTCTGCCAAAAATCATCGAACCATGACCAAATTCGAACTTGACCGGTATTTTTTCATGACATATCCATATGTCAAGTTTGAGTTGAATGTGTTGTACTGTTGGGGAGATAATGAACGGAAACTGAAATTTCATATTATTTTCAAAGTAAAAGGGGCATAACTCTGTCAAAAATCATCGAACCATGACCAAATTCGAACTTGACCTGTATTTTGTCATGACATATCCATATGTCAAATTTGAGTTGAATGTGTGCAACCGTTCTTAAGATAATTAACCGAAACTGATGATGACGGAATGACAGAATGACGGAAGGACGGAATGACGGAACAGGGTAACACAATATGCCCAGGCCATTATATGGCGGAGGCATAAATATGAACTTGACCGGTGTATTCCTATGATATATCCATATATTAAATTTATGTTGAATATGTACAACTGTTGGAGATACAATGAACCTAAACGGGAAATTTCCCTCTTTTTCTTTTCAAAGTTAAAGGTGTAAACTCATTCAATAATACCAGACGAGGGCAACTTTGACTTTTTACTTCTTTTGCAGCAAACAAATAAAAGGTTTAAACAATCTTAAAGAAAAAAAGTGAAGTTTTCCTTTTTTTAAATTTTAATAGGTCTGACTTGCTACAATCTTTCTTTATATATTTATATATATATAATTCAATATATATATATATATATATATATATATATATATATATATATATATATATATATATATATATATATATATATATATTCAATACACATTATAAAATTAAATTGAGAAAATCCAGTAAATGTCAGTTTTTTTTTTAGTATAATTTTTCTTGTTGTTGCACATATTATAGCCAGTTACAGAATTATGAAAATTTAACAAAAAATTCAAGGTCATTGAAAGTTCAAGGTCAAGGTCAGTTTAACATTTCTGAAGGTCTTGTCCAAAATGTTGTTTTGTCAAAGTATGAAGATAATCCATTAACTTATTACCAAGTAAAAGTCAATTAAATCAAAAAAAGTGAAAATTCAATAATTTAACCTTCAAGATAAAGGTCATAAAAAAAAGACCCAGGTCAAATTGAATTTGATTTATCCTTAAAGATGTTTTGTATAATATAAGGTCAATTCGTTCAATAATAACAAACGTATTGCCAGTTACAGCAAAAATTTGAAAATTTCAATGATTTGACCTTAAAAGTCAAGGTCATTTATGTGTGAAGGTCATTAATGTGTGAAGGTCAAAGTCTGTCTGGTCAACTTGAATGTCTACCCTCAAAAATTATTATGTTCAAGTTAGAAGGCAATCCATTCAAAAAGAAGATATGTTTGTAAAACAAGTATGCCACCTATTGGCAGCCAAATAGTCATGTGATCAAGTTATTATGACTAACTTTTGAACTAGTGACCAAAAAAGGTTAATTACTGGTTATGACTAGTCACTAGATAATTGTGACCACAAAGGTTGTGTGCAGCACTTTTATGACAAAGTTATTTCAAATCTTAGCAAATAATATATGCATAAATTCTATGAATCATGTAGGCCTCATTAATGACAGCCAAGTTGTTAATTACATAAGACCTTGAAATGTATATACCAAAAGGAGTTTTAGTTTAATAAAAATAAAAAACTAGAACTATCACTAAATGTGATTAATACCCCCACAATACTGCTTCAGAAATGAGGATGTTACTAGTAATAGAATACCTTGTAAAAGAATTGAAATATAGAGTTATGTTTGTGGGCAATTAAAGATAGTTGTGGTTCTTGTATGTTGCATTTCCTTTCAATGTGGTTGGCCATTGATGAAGTTTTATTGAATTACTCTGTAATAAGTGCAGAAAGACAAAGAAAAGGAACAAAGGGCAATAACTCTATAAATACTGAAGATGGAGTTATAGTTCTTGTGCACTGCACTTCCTCTTTTTGTGCTTGACCATTGTATGAAGTTGTTTTGAATTTCAACCAGTACATTTTAAGTTATGCTCCAGACAAGGAAAAGTATCAAAGGGCAGTAACTCTGTATTTTGTCAAAATGGAGTTATGGCTCTTATGCACTGCACTTCCTTTTAATGTCCTTGACAACTGTGTGAAGTTGTATTGAATTCCAAACAGTAGTTTTCAAGTTATGCTCTTGACAAGGAAAAGTAACAAAGGGTAATAACTCTGTAATTTGTCAAGATGGAGTTATGGTTCTTGTGCACTGCACTTCCTCTCAATGTGCTTGACCATTATATGAAGTTATATTGAATTCCAACCATTAGTCTTCAAGTTATGCTCCGGACAAGGAAAATGCAACGGACGCCTGGACCGACCGACCGACCGACCACAGGGTGACTCCTATATACCCCCCCCAAACTCCGTTTTTGGGGGAATAAATATCAACCAAGGCACCTTGAGTTGTTGATTTATTGGTCATAAACATTCTTTACATACAAGGTCAATATGACATTGACCTCAATAGGGGTTATCTACTGGCCAAGACCAATGAAACTGTGAAGTTTGTAGGTAAATGGCCCATGAGTTGGGATATTGATCAGAAAGCATTGTTTCCTATAAGGTCAATGTGATCTTGACATCTGACCCCTTAACACCAAAAAATCCATTGAGGTCATCTTCTGACCAAAAGCAATGCATCTGTAAAGCTTGAAGGTCAAGGGCCCATGGGTTGTTCAGTTATTGATAGAAAACCGTTTTGAAATACAAGGTCAATACAACCTTGACCTTTGTTCCCCTGACCCCAAAATCATTAAGGGTCATCTATTGGCCAAGACCAATGCACCTTCAAAATTTGAGGGCCAAAAGCCCATAGCTTGTCAAGTTATTGATAAGAAACTGTTGTTACCTACAAGATCAATGCAACCTTGATCTTTGACCCCTTGACCTAAAAATCAATAGGGGTTATCTACTGGTAAAGTCCAATGCACATACCAAGTTTGAAGTTCCTAGGCCTAAGCCTTCTTGAGTTATCACTCAGAAACTGTTTTTACCTACCAGGTCAATGTGACCTTGACCATTGACCCCTGAACCAAAATAAATAGGGGTCATCAGCTGGTCATGAACAATCATCATACAAAGTTTGAAGTTCCTTTGCCTAAGCGTTCTTTAGTTATTGATTGGAAACCATTTTTACCTACAAGGTAAATGTGACCTTGACCTTTGAGCCCTTGACCCAAAATCAATAGGGGGTCATCTGCTGGTCATGAACAATCACCAAACAAAGTTTAGAGTTCCTAGGTCTAAGAGTTCTTTAATTATTGATCAGAAACTGTTTTTACCTACAAGGTCAATGTGACCTTGACCTTTGACCCCAAAATCAATAGGGTTTATCTGCTGGTCATGAACAATCATCATACCAAGTTTGAAGTTCCTAGGCCTAAGTGTTCTTTAGATATCACTCGGAAACCATTTTTATCTACAAGATCAATGTGACCTTGACCTTTGACCCCAAAATCAATAGGGGTCATCTACTGGTCATGAACAATCATCATACCAAGTTTGAAGTTCCTAGGCCTAAGCCTTCTTTAGTTTTCACTTGGAAACAGTTTTTATCTACAAGATCATATGACCTAGACCTTTGACCCCAAAATCAACATGGGGTCATCTGCTGGTCATGAACAATCATCATACCAAGTTTGAAGTTCCTAGGCCTATGTGTTCTTTAGTTATCGCTCCAAAACATTTTTTTTACCTACAAAGTCAATGTGACCTTGACCTTTGACCCCAAAATCAATAGGAATCATCTACTGGTCATGAACAATCAACATACCAAGTTTGAAGTTCCTAGGCCTAAGTGTTCTTTAGTTATCGCTCCGAAACTATTTGGTCTACGGACCGACAGACAAATGCAAAGCAATATACCCCACTTCTTTGAAGGTTGGCATAATAACAAAGTTATAGCCACTTAAATAGCAAAAATCAGCTAAACACAAGAAAAATTTAGATATTTAA